GTCGATTCAGGCTCCCAGCATGATATAGAGATTAGCTATGTAGAGTCGAAATCTCCTTGCCTTTATGTGCAATCCGCCATTTGTGGTCCAATCCTACCTCGGGAACAATAAAGACGTGGTGTATGGATGCTTTTATTGAATCGCAAAAAATAAGGAAAGAAGGGGGGAAAAGTGAGTTCCATGGAATACCTAGGAGTCGAGCAAGACGTATTTCACATATGGGCATGTACCGTACACGTACTATACATGGGCATAGCTAACTCACTTTGCAGAGCTGCACAATCTCCTTAAAACATATTGTCTATTTGATGGGATCGTAGAAAGGCATGGCCATTACTTCCTCGAGCGACCAGTACTTCCGCAATTTGTCAGGCCGAAGTTCATCTACCTCGTTATCCATGTGCACCCACAATATCTCCCTAAACCCATCCATAAGCGTCTTCAGGTCTTCCAAGGCGAACTCCTTCTTGCCTTCCTTGCACGCGGAAAGATACTCGAGTAGATTCGTCAGGCCAGTGTGGATATGTGTGTGCTGAACGAGCAGTTCGACTTTCTTATGTTCATCTTTGAATGCTGGCATGCGCTGGCCCAAAATTGGGAAAACCCATGCCTCTTCCAAGGAGTGGTGGATCTCCAGGTTATTGCAGAATTCCGTTCCAAGTTCGATGAACTGCTCCAAAGACATGTCCTTGGGCAGCTCGTTGGCAACGCAGGCATCGTATAATTTCGTCCATGAAACTCGAAACTGGTTATGCTGCATAAGATGTCAGCATCGTTGTATAGTGAAAGGATACGTGGAATTTGGAATATCTTCCTCTTTGATCTACTGACATGGAAGTCCATTTTCTCTGCAAAGAAGTTGAAAACTTCGAAGTCTTCGGCGGATAATTCGGGCAGGGGGTCAGCAGAAGCTGCCGGTTGAGCAACGGGAGTATTTTGAACTTCGCTCATTATTACGACGTTGTTTCGTCCGCGATATTCAATTTGGCACTCGCTTGTTGGAATCTCTCGAAGCAATCCTCTCTATGCATAAAAGGAATATTTGGATATCTGACTGAACTATTCACGCTTTATGGCTCGCTCAGAAATTGGGCCGTGCCTGCCTTATATGCTCCGGTATTGGCGTAGCCCATCAGCCACAGCAATCGATATGTTTGATTAAATAATAATGGCAACCCTTTGTCCAACCCGAGGTCTTCGTGATGGCTCTTTGGCCCAATCTGTCGTCTTTGCTTTCTTCTCAGGGAGGTTGCGGGCCACCCTGCCTGAAGATCATAATCCCGGCATGACCAAAGCCATAGCCTGCCGATGTTGTATCATCGGTATCGCATTGCAACCTGAACTAACGCCAGTGCTGCTTCACTAGTGGGCCAACCAGAGACAGAGTATTATCATTAGCAGAAGAAACGCTGGATGGTCAGATCCAACGTCGAACAAACTTGGACGAGATTCTTAGCTCAATGTTCGCTGAACGGAGCAGTGTGTACCATCTCTATCACCCCCACCACAGGACTGCCAAAAGCTATAAGAGTTTTGTCTCTCCTGTTTTTCGTGATTGCACATGTAAAGTTCTTCGACTCCCTCCACTTTCTTGCTATAGAGATAGAGGTAGCACGTTACCCCTGGAATCCTTCTGTGTTGGTCAGAGGTAGAGATCCAACGATATACGTGAAAGTAGTAAATCCGAAAAACTATCTCCGAGCTGAGAAAACGGTCCTTGGCAGACTGAGACTGAAAGTCTCCGGTTCAAGTCTCTGAGCCATCTGCATACAATGAGAAAACGTTGTATCAGCCTATTGATATTGATATACATATAATCTCGGCGAACTATGTATATAACGATATGAGACGTACGCTACAAAAAGGACACCGAGTAAAGCATTTGCCGTTGGAAACATTGCCTTGGTGAGGCCGTGATGTCTCCGGTTCCAAACTCCCATCCTCCCATCCTCGCTACTTGAAACGATGATGTATATATCTAGATCCTGGTGTCGGCTCGCGGCATCCCGGGATCGGTAAATCTCGACAGTTTTGTTATTTCAAGATTTAGTCGCATTACATTTTGTATGTACTCCGTAATTGATAAATAACCTCCCTTTAGTTGATAATAATAGCCCACGACTCACCTCTCATCTTCATAACATCGTCCACCTCGACTGCTGATTACTTAAAAAAAAAAAAAAAAAAAAAAAAAAAAGAACAAGAAAGAAAGAAAAAAGAAAAGAGTATCCCTCTTCAGTGTTACCAGATTACCCTGTCTTCTTTATTGCTTTGAGTACAAGTATGTAGGACAAAGAAGTATGTAGAGCACACAGAGGTAATTGCTTTGTTCATAAATATATCCATGTGATGATGGAGCTTGTCCTGGCTGAAAGCAAGAGATCAAATCAAGTAGAGATACGCTACGCTAATTTATCCAAACCACTTCCTGATGTTTCCTCCTGGTGCTGATTATGAGCTTGTGGAATTCCGAGACGCCGCATGTTGGAGGCTGCCTCGGCACAGGATTTACTCCTCTATTAAACTATGCCACGACCCCTTCCAAGGCTTGGGGTTGCTTGCGAGGGAGGAATGGCGATTGCTACTCGTGGATTAATATAATAGTTGCTGTTGTAAGCCCCAGCATGGTTTACACCCCACTTCATTTTCACTTTTGAATTCGAGAGGGCGAAAGTACATGCACATATAGTTATGAAAAATGTAATTTCTATTCCATGCCACAGGGGTATTGTAAGCAGTATATACAAAAGAGAAAAAAAGGAAAAGAGCGTAACAAACTAAAAGAAAGAGAGGAAAGATAGGAAAAGAAAAGAAACTTTGGAAAATGAGAAGATCTGTCCTGCTCTTGTTGAGCGGTAGTTTGTGGGTATCAGATTCCGGGTTGAAATCCGGGAGTGGTAAAAGGAGAGAAAGAACGAATTGAAGATAAAAGGAAAGTATTGTACTGTACAATGCAACGAAATAACCAAAAAGACCGACAAGCAAGCGGAAGTAGGAGTCCCATAAAACCAACCAGATAGATGCTTCCTCCCACATGATATTTCATAAGGATAGATCAAACCACAAAATTTATGGTTCTTCATTTATAGAAGGGCTACTTGAGCTTCGCCTGAATGTCATTAGCTTGTCTAGTAGAGTTTAGCTGATTTTGGGTGTGCGGAAGCTGAGCCATCCACGTCGGGGGAGAGATCCCAGTTTGCTCATGGATAGTGGAGAAAAGCGGTGGAAGGCTTTGCATGAGGTTCCGGATTGGGGCAGTGGTATCCTGTGACGCATCGCCAGATGAACCTGGATTTGCGCTATCTTTAGTTGCCGAACTAACAGGAAAATTCATTTTGCGTGAGGGAGCGGATAAACTAACCGGTGTTCCAGACCGTAATCTTGGGTTCAAGGCCTTTGATAGCTTCACCATTTGCTCTGGCGAGTGCCTCGTACGTTTTATTCTGAATCATAAGGTATTGTAGGAAGCCCTGCGGTCCGCCAAATACATCTGCCATCGCAGCGTAAGCCTTGGCCGTCTCGGCGATACCTTGAGCTTCCTTTTTCTTCGCGATGTAGGCAGCTTCCGCCTCTTTCGTTTTTGCCAAAAATGCCGCCTCTGCATCCTTGGAGACGCGATAGTCTAGAGGCAGTCCACGGGTTAGTGAGGGGTTTCAGATGATTCCAAAGTCAGATGAAGTGGGCGGGGAGTGGCCAAATACTCACAGTGTGCATCAGCGTCCATCTTTTGTTTATACATCACAGCGTCAGCGGTTTTCATTTTGGTGTAGAGGTCTGCATCAGCGTTCTGTTCAGCAGCCTCCCTTGAGATCTTGCTCTTGGTCACATCGATTGCCCGCAGGCGTTCCAATTCCGTTTCTGCTCGTTTGGTCTCGACCTGTTTCTGCAACTCGGCATCTTTCATCTCTGCTTGGCGCTGAGCGGATATCTTCCCAAGTCGAATGCCCATATCGAGCTCTGTTTGGCGATTTGTAAGCTGAGCATCTGCCTGCGCCTTCTCGCTTCGGCGCTTGGTTTCTAGAACGGCAGTTTCTGCATCAATTTTGGATATCTCTTGCTTTGTTTTGCCTCGCTTTTCGGCCTCTCCAATTTCACCTCTCATTCGAGCCTCTGCGACGTCAATTTTGGCTTGATTCAGCGCACCTTCATGCGCTTTTCGACTAAGCTAAATTGCCGAATGGTCAGCACATATCTCCGCGCATCCTAAGCAGAATAAGGAACTTACCAACGTGAAATATTCGCTTCCTGGAGTATCTTGAAGCTCTTTAACGTTGGCGTTGTAGCTATGATTTCGGGAATAAGCACCACAGACAATGTTGTATTGAAGCACACCAGTACTTACATCCTCAGACCAAATTGATCCAGCTCATTTTGGACATTCTCGATGACATGCTGCTTGAAGACGTGTCGTTCTTTGAAGATTTCTTCCATTGTCATGCCAGACACAATCACGCGAGTCTCGCCCTCGATGATGCCCTTCACGATATCTTGAACATGATTCCCTGTGGTTGCCGATTTGGCAGCCTTTACCCCATCAGCTTCTCCGGAAAGGAGGAGAGCATACTTCTTGAGGGAATCGATATTGTTATCAGGACCGATTGTGAAGACGGCTGGGAGAGAGAACTGAAGCTTTTCGATGGTCATGGCCTGGAGATTCATGGAGAAATCGAACGGCGAAATTGAAATTCGGGTGCACTGTGGTTGATCTCTGTTAGACTCTCAACTTTCATTTGGAAAGCACCCTGCCCTGAAGACTTTTCTATGAAGGCAGAGTGATCGATGCGCTCTAGCAACCTACTTTTTGCCATGGCATCACAAACGCCGTTTTCTTTATAAGCACGTCATTGATGCCACCTCCCGTGAGAACGAGGTACTCGTTCGGCTCTGAAACCTTGTACCTGAGGAAAAAGTTGGAGTTAATAACCATGAATGATGAATAGAAATAGCAATGAAAACAAGAACGAGAATACAAGCATACCACATCGTCAATCTTGAGCTATGTGTTTTTCCCCTTGATGGGTATTGCAGTATTAAATAGCCAGTATGTGGTTCGCAATGAGAGAAGAGAGTGAGTGAAAGCGGTTTGAAGCGAATTGCAGTTTTGAAAACGGGAACGAGGCCGACATATATATATATATATATATAACACAAATACGAGATGGAATTCACCGCGCAAGGCCACCACTCACCATGACGAAATGGCAGGAACAGCCAGCCGAGAAGCATTCGGATTGGGAGCAACCAGAAGGAGCTCCGCGGCAGCCTTGTCGCCAGGCTTTGGCCAATCAGGTAAGTCCCGCAGTCGCATGCACGGCATTGCTAGCACCGTGTTAGCGATCTCTGGTTGGCGTCATTGACACCAAGGGCCAAGCAAGGTTCTACCCTGACAAACATCGAAAATGGGCCGAGTGCGGTCTCTCGGAGAAAGGCTTTCAAGCCGCATGATCCCAGCCCCAAGAAGCGACTTCGTGTGTGTCTCTTTCACCCCCATCGAGGCTCTATGTGCTGTACCTATGATATCAACATTATCCCGCTGGTTGATCCAAGGAGGC